AAAGGGACAGTAATCTCCGTCACCAGGGAACTTGCAGGTTGCCACCAACAGCATGAAAGTCCTGTTTCCCTCCTTTCTCAGTTGAGACCAGCTCCAGGATCCATATTGACAGAACTGGCAATTGCACTTCTAGCAGAGTAGGACAGGTGGATGGTCTCTGCCACATACAGAATTCTGTCTAGAAGCCTCCACAGTGGTTCCCAGGGGCTTGGAGTCATCTCCTTTTCCACCATTCCCTAATTGTCCCCACCTTCCTGCAGGATTCCAACCACACCAGCCTTTCCCTACTTCTCTGCATGCATCCCACAGCCATGGGCACAGGCCGTAGCCCTGATCCCTGTGGCCCTGAGGCTTCCTGCTCCTCACTCCAAGCCCAGAGGCCAGGGCCTGCTGTGCTGGACTAATCTGGCATCCTTTCTTCTCTCAAGAAGCAAAACACATACTACCTTTTTGCTCCCACACCTCCGTCCACAGTATCGCCCTTCCCAGCACGTACTGCGGCCCACATAGCCTCATGTGTCTGTTCGGCATCCACCACTCCCACCCAGCAAACCCTGCGAAGGCCTTCCTGGATCTCTCACACTTCATGTGCCCAGGAGATGCCTGCTGGTACACAAGCAGCAGAGCCCAGGCCTCAGGGCCCACCACTGAGGGCAGCCAGGCCTCTGCCTTCTCTGACTTAATCCTTTCTTTCTCCAGAGGGAACCCTGGAGCCACAGATTGAAGACCTGATTCGGCGGATTAACGAGCTTCAGCAAGGTAACTCGGGCCAGCTGGGGCCAGCAGACCGTGCCTAGATTTCGAATGCCTCTGCTTTTATCTAGAAAACCCAGTCCAGCTGGGAGGCTGTTAGAAGACGAGCGTGCGATGTTACAGTTGCCGGGAGAAGGGCAAAGTTGCACTCAAGAGTGTCTTCTCTTCCTTGACCCAGCAAAGAAGAAATCCGACGAAGAATTGAGAGAGACCAAAGCTCTCTGGGAGGCCCTGAATAGGGAGTTAGACTCCTGTAAGTGGGGCCAGAAGACACACCCAGAGAGCCTTTGATCACTGCTATTTTTGCGCCTGCCTCAGGGCCTTGGCATGAGCTGATCCCTCTCTGTGATTCTCTGAGCCCACATTATCTAGACGACCTCTCGCTCTGTCGTGTCATTATTCAGCTCTCAGCTCACCTGGCCCTGAAAGTCCTGCTTTGAGGGTTTCATCTCTCTGTCCTCTCATTCTAATGCTTGATGTCTTTCAGGGCCCTTATTCCTGCCTGTTAGTCTTTGTTTCACCCAGTGTAAACTCTGTACATTCTTTCTGGTCTTCACTCCCTTGGCACTTACAGGGACAGTGGGCACAGGAGGGGAGAAGCCAGACTAGGATGGTTCCTGGGCAGATGGGGCAGGGTGGGGCCTCCTCTAGGGCCCTGTGCTGTTGCTTCTTGCATGAAGTCGCCATAGGAACATGGGATGTTGGCCTCGGGCTAAAAGCGTCACTGTGCTTTCCAGTGAATGGCGAGAAAATGCACCTAGAGGAGATCCTGAAGAAAAAGCAAGGTATCCACCGGCTGCCCTGTCTTCCTTGTGGCACCATGCCCCCCACGCTCCCAGACTCAATCCTGGGGCGTCTGCTGAGACCCATGCTCCGATGCTCGCCTCTGCTTGGACCTCTCAGCGGCCTCCTCCCTTCAGGACACACCTGAGCCCTCTAGGGGATGCGGGTGCCCAACTGGACTGGTCGCCCCTTCCCTCTGCCCAGGGCAGGGCCATCCAGCTTCTTCTCTCCACAGAGGCGCTCGTGATCCTCCAGCAGCACCGCCAGGTCCAAGAAGGGGAGACTCCCAGGTAAGAGTCCTGCCCCAGAGCCCCACCTTTTCGCCCAAAGTCATGGACCTCAGATACTCGCTCCTCATAGTCACGTGTTCCTTTATTAAACAATTCCACCCGCTGGTGTTATTCTGTCTTGCCCTGTCAGCTGCCGGCCTTTGCCACCTATTTGTTGCCTTCTGTGTGCTCATCCATGTGCCTACCTGGCCGCATACACCCTCTTATCTTTTCCTCATTTCACCTATTTATATCCACTCACCTAGGTCACCCAATCAGGTAACCGCATCTTCAGCTTCCAACCACGCTTTCATCTTTTCTCCGTCTTCACACTTGTCTCTCTACGCCCCCCACCCCACCCCCTTCAGTTCTTCACCACCCATCCATCCAGGCTCCTGTCTGTCCTTCCGGTGAGCTTTCCCTTATTTCTCCCGCACTCATCATTTCTCTATGGAGGCCTCCTCTCCCTAGAGACCAGGACCTGAAGGTCTGTGCCCAAGGCGCCTCAGGCCAGCTGGCATGTGACTTCCTCCCTTCCTTCAACCCCAAGGTTGATTGTGGAAGAGCAGCAGAAGGATCTGGTGGCCCAGCGCAAGGACCTCTGGGAGTTCCGTGTGAGCCATTGCCACCCCCCCCCCCAAATCACTCCCGTCCTGACCCCCAGAGTCTCTGCTGACCACCCTGGGTCACACCTGCTCAGACCACTGCCATGACAGTGTCCTTGACTCCCTACTCCCTGTGCCTCCAGGCGGCCACGCTGCGCCACTACTCACTGCCACACCGGCGTTGCTCTCGCTGTCCTGACAGTAGCCTGGCAGCACCTGCTTTCTCTAGTGTCCGGGGAGGTCACCTGGCAGTGGCAGGCGGGAGTCCTTACGGAGGCTTCATTCCGCGGGCAGGGCGAGGCACCCGAATGCTATCCCAAGCTGGCAGGGGCAGGCTGGTTGGTGTAGACCCTACCTGGGAAAGTCCGACAGAGCAGGACACCCGAGGAAGGCCCCAGCGCAGGTGGCCACTGTAGACGAAGATGGGGACAGGGAGGAGGCCGCCCAGGTGTGTGGGTCCTGGCGTCCCAGGCAGCGGAGAGGGTGGGAGCGAAGACCCCGGGCTGACCGCGCCGCGAGTTTGCGGAACAGCCCGCAGGAGACGCGGATGGTGAAGCGTGGAGTAAGAGGAGAAAGGAAGTTCGAGGCACCCAGGGACTTGAGCGACTGCGGGGAGCGGGTCTCCAGCCGCGGCAGAACCCTGAGCTCATAGTGAAGTGAAAGATGACCTACAGAAGGTAAGAACCGGCAGACGGGCGAACAAGCTCCTGTGTCCCCGCAGGTGCTGGAGCAGCGACTGGCCCGCGACATCCGCGCCCTGGAGCGCAACCGGGAGCACCTGCGGGCGAACGGTGAGTGGACTCCGGGAGGGGACCCAGGTCCGGCGCTCTGACGACCCCGCCCCTTCTGCAGGGAGCCGGCTGCGAGCGCGGCTGCAGGAGATGGAGCATCGGCTGCGCCCCACGCCGGAGCTCGGAGCCGCCCCAGCAGGGTCTGGCAGGTGAGGCTGCGCCCCGCCCCACTCCGGCCCGCCCCCGCCGCGCCGCTGGGGTTTGGGGCGCCCAGGCCTCTTCCTGCCTTTGAGGCTTTAGCCTCCTGCTCTCACCTCCGCAGGCTATTGGCGGAGCTCCGCAGTTTGGAGGAACCTGGAGAGAGATGGGGCCTGGGGCTGGAGACGAGGGGCCAGGACAGAGCCGGGGAAGACGCGGCGGGGTCGAGGGAACAGGGTGACCCGGCTTCCAGACGTCGGCCAGCAGCCACACTCTCGCCGCTGCAGGCCTGCGACGCAGAGGACGAACCGGAGCCGCAGGCGGAGCCCGCACCGTGAGCAGCAGCAGCACCACCCGCCCGCCCGCCCGCCTTCACGGGGCTTCCCCGAAATAAAGACGCGGTCTTGGGCTGTCCTGGGCTCGGGTGCGTGTGCTGCCTCTGCGGGCTGGCGGGTGGCTCGATGGTCAGGCGGGTGTGCAGGGCAGCAAGACTGGGTTCCCGAGCCACCCCTTTTGCAAGGGTTTGAGGGACCCTGCTGAAGACCCAGGCCAGACCTCGGGTCCCTTGGTGGGCTTCTGTGGTCGCGCACACCTCCAGCCTTTCGCGATAGTCCGCCTGCACTTGTCCCATCAGTGTGGGTTCTCAGCCATACAGTCATGGGTTCCAGGACCTCAAGCACACCACACCCAATGTCCCCGCAGTCCTCGGCTAGGATGGCCAACCTTTGGGTCTCCTGGCTGCCTCTACACCCATCGCCTGCCAGTTAAATATCTCAGAACTGAGCTACAAAGAAACTAGCTAGGAAGAAATGAGAGGAGCCCAAGAAGGGCCAGCTGTGGACAGTGTAGGGCAGGGACGGTGAGGCGGAGAGGTTCTGAGGTCCTCCAGGTGGCCGATCACTGTCCAGGAGGGCCAGGGCACATGTGTCACCAGGACACCAGCGCAGAGGGTCCCAGCTCTGCCTGCCAGCTGTGCGCGTCAGTCAAATTACTTCTCTGGGCTTCACTTCCTTCATCTGCAAAATAAAGGTCACTGCAGGGATTAATTGATAATGTATGGAAAGTTCTTAGTCCTAAGTACTGTCATTAAGAGAATTTTCATTCTCCCAGGAAATCTACACAATAAACAGCATATAGGTTTTGTTGGTAGCGGACCATGTGTGTCCTAACACATGAAGAAACTAAAACTAGGCAAGAACTAACTAGTCCTGTCCTGCAGCCCACATCATTGCTATATCCTCGGCTCCAGGCATACATTCTCCTCCACCCACACCGCCAGCTTGTGGGTGAATGTTGTAGCTTGTGTCACCCCAGGTTGTGTAGCTTTCTAAAGAAAAGAGGGTTATCTTGACTCACTGGAAGTTCAAAGTCGAGGAGCCAGATCCAGCGATCACCTTATGGCCACAGCCGCGAGGTGACACAGAGCATCACATGGCTGGACACACATCTGAGTTTCCTTAAAGTCACCAGAATTCAATGGTGTGCTTCTCTAAGGCCCCACCCTAAGCACTATGGTTGAATTAAGACTCCACCTTCTCACTGCCTTGAGAGGGAATTAAGTGCCAACATATGAAGCCACTGGAGCCTCATAGACTATATTAGAACCAAAGCACGAATTAAAGTTGAAATCCACCTGACTGATGCTTTCAAAGGGCAGCAATTCAAACATGTATTTGTGAAGCGTTTGCCATGTTCCTGCCACTTTGTTGGTCATTGAAAAAGTTCCAGGAAATGTATGAGTCACAGTTGTCATCACGGACCTTGTAGACTCTTCAGGAGAAGAGACCTGTGCAGCGGATGATAGCAGACACTGCAGCATGCTGGTAGGCCTGGAGTCCTGGTTCCTTCCTGGGACTCAGTCCTGCTCCCTTTGTAAGCTTGATGGAGAAATAAGCTGAAAATTGCTCACAAAAGTACTCCATAAAAAGCAAAACATAAGGAAGGCAGTTGTATTGTTTTTTGTTTTTTTTTTTTACCGGGGATTGAACTCAGGCCCTTGCGCTTGCCAGACTAGCACTTATTCTACTGAGCCATCTCCCTGGTCCCAGCAGTTGTATTATTGAATAAGCATTAAACCAGAAGAGAGTGGTTATCATAGGCAACCTGCATAAAAGGATTGCAAAGTCAGGCTGGGGAGATAGCTTAGCAGCATAAGTGCCTGCCTGGCAAGCACAAAGTCCTGAGTTCTGTACCTGGCACTGCATGCTGTGGCACCCCAGAAATGGGCATGATGGTACATGCCTATAATCCCAGTACTAGGGAGGGTGAGACAGAAGGATCACTAGGAGTCTGAACTACAAGGTGAGATCCTGTGTCAAAAATAACAAAACAGGGCCGGGGAGATGGCTCAGTGGAATAAGTGCTCCCTTGGGCAAGCACAAGGGCCTGAGTTCAATCCCCAGTTCCACCAAAACAAACAAAAAAATAAAATAACAAAACAGGGACTAGGGAGACAGCTCAGTAGAATAAGCACATGCCTGGCAAGGGCAGGGTCCTGAGTTCAATCCCCACTACTGCAAAATAAATAAACAAAAATCAATGACATTTGGCAGTTTTGGAGCAGGGCAACACATACACACACACACACACACGCATGCACACACACACTACATTGGCAGTTAGTGTAATCTCTGAGTTTACATTTCAGAGAGGTGGTTTTTGGGTCCTTGAGAAACACCATCCTGCATCATGAAGGTGGAAAGAGGCAGCAAGTGACATGCTAGCTTTTTTAAAAGATTTAAATGCATTTCAAATTGACAACACGTTTCCTTAAGTAGATGTCCTGAGAAATATCAGGGGGTGCCTCTTTCTCTGAGCACCCACATTCCACTCTGGAGCGTGTCCTGTGTGTACTGCTAGTTAATCCTTCTGATATCTCTTCAAAAATGTCAGGGGTGGCAGACACAAAGCGTCTACAATCTGAGGTACAGGATCTCAGGATAAATCCTGGGGGGATTTGACTGACCTTATCAGACCCAAAAACTACAACTCTTGTTGCATAGGTCCTGCTTTATCTTGGTTTTAACCATCCAACAGAAAAGTATAAAAACAAAGTATAAGAAGTAAAATCATGAGCTGTAGGGGACTCAGGTCAACAATTTCTGACATTGCCAGAATAGTATTGGGAAGACCCAATACTATTATGGACTACTGGACTCTTTTAGAATATTTTGCTGAGTTAACACACCTATAATATTCAAATGACGGAACTAAACAAAAAAAGGGGATACAGATGAGTGTCCATTTTGTATCTGTGCATTCAAAGTGGTTAGGATAGATATATAGTTGCATTCTCTAATAGGGATTTGTTCTAATAGTGTTTGTAAATAGGATGTCATGTCTGCATCTTGTACAGCAAAGAACCACTAGGAAGAGAGTATGCAATGTGTTAATTATTGGAACTGTCCTACCAATTTGATTTGAAGCTGTCTCATTGCTATTTGTCTCAATAAAATTATGGGGAAAAAATGTCAGGGGTTGGAGGAGTTCTTTTTCTTATTTTTAACAGGAGAAATGCAGCCTTATATTTCTAATATGCATTTGCTTTGCCCTTACTACCTGAGGTAAGTCAATGCATGTTCATCTGCCATTTTAAAAAAGTTTCTCCCTTGTGGGAAGAGGCAAGAGACCTGTGTCAGTGTCGATAACTTTTAGGCGCCCATCTGTAGGCTTGCAGCAAGTTGATGCTGGGGGCACCTAATCACCTTTGGCCTGGTCAAAGCGTCCCCTCCCTGCATGAGTGTCCATGGGATAGCCCAGGTGTTCCTCAACCCGCTAATCCAGAAACCCAGCACCCTCAGAGTGGCTGGCTGTAAAATAACCTATAGTCAACCCCAGAGTCACGAGCATGGGTTTTTCTTTTGCACATTGTTTCTTTTGCCAATTCACAGGCTCCCCAGAAAGCCACAGGGACAGACCCATGACCTTTCATCTGGGCTCAGATGCACAGACGGCCCCATAAGCCCTCTCTTGTGTTTCCCACTTGCTGATTGAATTTCCTGCTGCCTCCTGACTGGACTTCCCGTCAGTACCCTAACCTCACTCGGCTCAGCCTCACTTCACTGTGTCTCCTGTGACAGACACACCCAAACCCAGCCCTCTTCCAGTCAGGGTTTTCCTAAACAGTGGCTACCTCCTTGGTAGGAATAAACTGGACACCAGTGAGATAACACTCAAAGGCTGGTTAAGGGTCTGATACCAGGCATGCTATGAACACTCATGACTTTGCTTCCTGTCAGGCATGGGGAGAGTTAATAGCTACCCTACACAGACACCCCAAGACCCAATTAAAGAAAAGTCCAGAGTTGAGTTATTTGCCTGCCAAAAGAGTCTGGACCACCTGAGACACAGTCGTGTGTTCCTGACTGCAAGCACCGGAACACCTGTGGCACACCTGTAGATTTGCCTCAACCCACTGATCTTAGAGCAGGCTGGGCACCAGAATCAGTAGCGGCACTGGGAAAACAGTGATGCTGTATCTTGATGTTCCCCCCCCAGCCCCCCAGGTCTCATGCAGCCATAGGTGGGGCATTTCCAAGCTGGCTGCATCTAGAGTGCGGAAGGTGAGTTAAGGGCGTGTCCACTGATTGGTGTAGCGCAGTTCTGGCGTGGATAATAGGAAGGCCCACCTGGTGTGGGCGGTACCAACCAATAGGCTTGTAGCCTGGAGGGGAAGGAAGGCAAGGGGAGCATTGATGGGGCTACGGTGCTGCCTTCTTGCCTGCCTTGCTGCGGACTGATGCCCCTTTGCCTTGGAGCCAGCCGACCATGGACTAAAGCCTCTGCAAACACAGGTAAAGCAAGCCTTTCCTCTTTTAACTTCAGGGTGCTGAGTGTCTTGTCCCAGTAATGAGAAAATGACTAAGATGCCCAGAATTGTTTTTAGAGAGTGCGATTCAACCAGTCTGGGATAGGGCCCAGGGCTGAGTATATTTACTTTAAAACTTTCCAGCCAGTGATGTACTCTTGGCAATGCAACCACTTACCCAGAAATAAGAAATAACGGTTCTAGTATTGACTAAGGTAGTGCTTTCTGGGCTAGAAACGTCAGTCTCACCTGGGAACCTACAAAAACTGCAAACAGCTGGATCCTGGCCCGGGCCTATTGCCTTAGACGTTCTGCTGGGTTTATCAGCCCCAACAGATGATTCCAATGCTTAGGCTTGAGGTGCCCTGAACTATCACACCAGCGAGCGTCTGCATATTTCCACTTTCTCATGGCTGTCCTTGTGGGTGAGTTAAAAGTTAGAAGACAGCCTTTGGAGACTGAATCTTCAGGTCCAAGCCTGAGTGCTCATATTTAAAACTGCATCCCGGGACAAATTTGTTTCCTATCTAAACTCCAGTTATCTCACCTGTAAGCCAGAAATTAAGGCAATCACTCTAGTAAAATTGTTGGGCAAAATAAGGTATTGGTTTCCTCCCCTTCCTCACTAAGGGCATTCTGAATTTACATGTGATAGGAGTGATACACATTTCTGTGTGTTCAGCCAGGACTCCACCTAGGAATACTGAAGCTGTCTACGAAAGCAAAATTGACTTACCAGCAGCTTACATCAGTGTTTCTGGGGTGTCTTGTGTGATCTACGTAGTCCAGGTGACTGTTTTAATAATACTGAATCATGCAGGCAGGGTGTTATTCTCCTTTCAGGATTTTAGCATGCTGAAAAAAAAAAAAAAAAAAAAACTTATTTTTACTTACAATGCCTGAAACACATCCACAAGCTTCTAGTATCCCCTTTGGAAAGAAGAGCCTTGTGTTGCAAGCAACTATATTTTCCTAGAATGTAGCATAATTGCCCTACATCCCTATATAGTTTGCATTTCTTTCTAGAGGTAATTGCTGCTTCATGAGTTTCTTGTTCTCTGAAAGGAATCTTAGACTACATTAGTGTACTCAACATGGCTGTGGCCCAAGAGGGCATGCGCCGAAGACTCTGGTTTCACACACAAGGATCTTTAACAGAAATCACAGCCTCATCACAAAGAACAAGGAAGACAGG